TTGACTCTGGTACAGACCATGATGAAGACCAAGCAGGTTAGCAAAAATACCTTTCGGGCTTTTTTTCTTTATAGAAAAAAAACAGGGAACTTCAAATATTGTTTTCATCCATCGTGTGCCTTTATGTTTTCATTGAGACTTTTATACAGAAAATGAATATGAAGATCCCCATTTTGGCCTGATCCAAAAGTCTAATCAAAATGCAAATTTTTAAATGTAATTGTTTAGCCAGACCTATTCTTTCATGATTCAGAGAAAATTGTACATTTGTAAATTCTAAGCAAACATCAGCTGCAAACACTATCCCCACCTGCTATCCAGGCATGGATATTTTTAGTGTTTTTATTTGTATTTTTTTTATATAGCAGGTACTCGTTTACATTATGGTCATTCATGTCAATTGGCTGCCTGATTAAAAGACTCCTGCCTTTTAAAATGCTGCTGGCAGACGTTCTACAGTTTATTAGTCCAGATGCTGCTGAACACTTTGTTTCATGTTGCTATTGTTATGCTTAACGGGTGTTTAACTGAGGGTTGTTGACAAGTAAGCACACAGGCTTTTTCTACACACACCAGACCAATATTAGAGCAAACATGAAGCATCCACTATTCCTTTCTTTGTAATTCTTTTTGCCAGCCACAGTGTTTCATGTCAGTAAGAGCAGATGTTCACCTACTTTCTGGTCTTTCTCACATACACAAGAGACAAACACATTCTCGCATCCTAGTTTTTTGGGGGATTTTTTCAAAGCACATATGATGACAGTTTAGGGGAAAATAACTACATCAGGCTTGTTTTCTAGTCACATGGATGTAAGAAACCATCTATTTAGAGACTGGAAGATTGGAACAAGAAGAACAACTGTGTATTTTTTGAGGTGGGCTGCAGCTGTATAGTGCTGTAAATATCAGCTGTGTTCAGCTGTATGTAAGAGGATGGTGTTTGTTATTTTGCCTGTGGCACTTTTTTGTAAAGTTGTGTGTCCGCTGAGGGAAACGCACTGTTGATTCAGATCTTGTAACAAAAAAACAACCTAATCTTTAAGAGATATTACTAAGGATACTCTTTTTAACAGCATCAACAGAAGGCACTACACATACACTTTCTGAAGTGAGGAAAAAAATCACATCTTAAAAAGTAAAAATCTATGCATTAATTTGCTCTACAGCTTTTTATGGTGTCTTTTTTTTTACAAAAAGGGAAGGAAGCAAAGGAGGGCAAATAGAGCAGAAGGAAGGATTGGTACAATAAAGGAAACAAATTAAGGGCACAAAGAAGAAGAATAGAAGGAAACAATAGGAGAAGAAAAAAAAACACTTATATAAGCATAGGAAATAAGTCTGGAAATACAAAAACCATGTCCGTAGTGCTATTTTCTTTTTCTTTAAGAATCTAGATATGAAGAAACTGAAACTAAAATCTGCACTTTTCCAGATTCTTTGAAAACTTCAACTCTTGGTTACCCTTAGTTCATCTAAAGTTTATATATACATTTTACAAGTTGGTCCACATGCTTGAAGCCAATGCAAGTTTGCTGAACTCAATTCAAATCAAAGTTTAACATTTATTGACAGATATATTTTAACATGCCTGCAAATATTTGTTTTAATGCCATTTATCAAGCTGCAGAGAAATCTTACATTCAATCAACAAAACCCTGGCTAAAATACACTGTACACCCCATATATGGTATACTTCTGTGTAGCTCCTCTGATTCTTAGACATTGACACATTTTGCTCCGTCATCCATCACTAATAGACCCAATCGATATATCTGATGGTAGATGAAGGGGAGCTGTGGGTCATGCTTGCAGCAGTGTTGCCTGGCCTAGGCATTCTAAGCTCTAGCCCTGAGTGATTCTCATCAAGCCTCAGATCTTTTTACACTCTGGATATAAGAAATTAACTGAGGTGCCCTATGATATTAAATGATAAAAAGTTTTATAATTTCCTAGCTCCAGTAAACGCAACACAATCAGAATGCTAGAACCAATCAAAGAGGCATTTGTGTGGAAGCGGGCACTCATCCATGATTTGGCCAAGACTGCTGATACTATTTAGAGCTGTCACAGATAAAAGTTGACATATTAAAGAAAGAATCAAGATAATAATTATTCTGTTGTGACTGCAAGTGGCACAATGGGACAGGTAAAACAAAGGAGTAATTTGAATCTGGTATGCCTTCAAAATTATGTGAATATCAGGCATTTCTTTCATGATGACAATATAATATAAAGCATGAAACGGACTAAGCCTAAATTGTAGAAATAGCAACCAAAGCTGTTTCCCACATTTTAAAATCTGTTTGGTCGAGTGCAGAACTTTGAACTAGGAAGACACCAACTTCAGCACACAGTTACCAGTCTCACGACTGAGAGACATTTCCATTGTGTTTAAACCCTTACACATGCTTTTCAATAGGTGCGTGGTGCACGTTAAGGACATCTGCTTTGCTACCCGTTTTGACGGGCTTAGCTCTGTCTGTACTTGTGCTCCACCCTGGTGGTGCACACAGCAACTCATTGCTCTCTCTTCACCCTCTGTGACCTCAGCTGTCTCTGCACTCTGTTTTTATTTCTTCCACCTTATGATAGTTGGCTTAAAACTTTTTACCAAAGTTTAATTTCTATCAAAGAAATTCCTTACATCATATCCCAATTAATATTTCATTGTCTTGTGGTTTATTTGTTTTTAAAGACCCACATGAAAAAGGTACATATACCTTCTTGGAATATCCCTATTTTTCTATCCATTGAGTTAGGATTTTGATTACTTGTATGGTCATAAAAATGATTTATTATTATTATTATTTTTATCATAGCATAAGGCAGTTTTTCAAATGATTAAAACCTTTGAAATGGGTGTAATGGGTGAAACTGATTCAACTGTGAAATTTTTGCTTTTATTTAAACAAGAGTTAAAATAACCTATAATAACTTTTCTGATAACTTTCTATATCTTTCTTCAAAGAAAATACCTCTTTTAGCTAGCCTCAGTATAGCTAAAATAATAAAAATCGCCCTAAATATTTATTCTATTATTTACTCTTTATCTCAAAATAACAAAATAAAATAGTGTAATTTAGCTTTTATATGTAGGTTATACAGTAATGGTCCATGTTTTAGATGCATGCAGGGTGTATAAAAAAAAAATAAATAAAAAAAAAAAATGAACCAGGAACTTTTTTATGCACTACCTTTAAGAATTTAAAATTGCTTTCACTCCTGCTCTTTGTTTCATCCAACAGTGACAATCATGTTTTTTAAAAGTTTTTTTTCCACAATATACAGTATTGAATTGATACTGTATTTATGGGTTAAATCAAATGGTGTCTCTAGATATTAATATAAAGCAGACTTTATATATTTCAGTATTTGGCTTTAAACAAGTTGCCAGAACAGCTCAAGATGGCTTAAATGAAAAGTCAGTTTTCTGAGTTTTAAATTCCCTGAGATTCCACACTAGGGTGTGCGCTTAGCCCCCAATGTTCCCAGGTAATTCCCCTGTGCTTCAGTACAATGATATAAATTTCCACACTGACTAAAAAAAGCTTCTATTTGTGACATAATGAAAGACAAGCAGATAAAGAAGTCGGTGTAAATGAGTGGATGGAGAGAGGAGAAGTTTTAGGGGTGGGGTTTAGTGCACAAGAATTCTCTAACTTCTGTGGGTTTTAACAAAAGTATCCAAAATTAAAATGGTGGAAAGTAGAAGTTTCCTTACCAGTTCTTTGTGGTGTAGTGATGTGAAGTTTTCTGACTTTGATTCAACTTGGGCTTGATTATCAATTGCATCAAAAATGGCATCTGGTCTAAAAACGTTGAATGCTCGTCATTGTTTTGTTACTCATCCTTTTAATATACATACAGAACTTATATAACTAGACCAAAGGGGACCTGGTGCTAGTCAAGATTAAACATAAGAACATTTTACAGACAGTAGTATCTGAATGACAATGATAGTATCTGGAAAAAAAGTTTGATTATGATGTGCAAATGGCTTGTACTTTTCAATGGAAGCAATGAGATGTGTTTAGGTAATTTAATGCAAATAACACATGTAAATAGTTGACATATGTCCCTCTTCGCTCACACTATATAATGTGTTATTAAGGGAATGTTCAGTATTGTAAATTCTTCGGAAAATTAAAGATTTCCTATTTTTGTGAGTTCATCCATCAAGCTTTTGTGTTATAAGGATTTTTGGGCCAGCTAAATCAAAAGGTATTTGTTGTTTTAAATCATATCTGAGATATTTAGTTGCACTGAAGTCTCCTAATACTGACCCAGTACATTTTCCCAAATTTTTTGTGGTTGTTTGTCATTTGAAGGTCATTGTTGTACAACAAGGAAAAACGTTTTTTTACAGCAGTCAACTTTAATTCACCAAGGAGTCTGTTATAAATGCAAAAGCTAAAAGATAGTTTAATAACATGAGACATAAAAAGAGTATGTCACAGTTGTAATACTTCCAAGATATCTCCCTCCTAAAATGACAGTCTAAGCAAAGAGGAAAATCAGGGAATCACAAGGCTAGTGGTAACTCTGGAGAAGTTGCAAAAGTCCACACATAGAACACATTTATTTGGGCATTAAACTAAACTTGCCAGTACTGAAGAAGAAAGCCAATGTTGAAAGAAAACAATAGGAACCTTAACATTCAACCACAGCTGCAATGGACTTGCCTAAATCGAAGCATGTTTGTGAACCTGAATGTTCTGGTTACAGTGATGACCCTTAACTTGAACTAACTAACAAAACAAAAACAATGGCGAAGGAATTAAGTCTATACATGTGCAACATCGATAGAGGTATATTTCAAAGGACTTCCACAAAGCAATGCAGCAAAAGATGGTTAATGTTGGTCCACAACATATACAACATAGAATATCTGTAAACTCTATTATCGGAGGCTGACAGCATGGGGAGTTCCAGAGAAATGAATACCTTTGAAAGTCATTGCAAATTTTTCAAACTTTTTACCACAGATGTTTACGTACCGCTCCAATGATCTCAAAGTGTTCCTGCCTGCTGAAGTCTATGGCTTTGCCGTTGAAAAACCATTTGAAAACGGGGCTCAGGGATGAGTCACTGGATACCTCGCAGGGTAGGACAAGGCTCTGTCCCACACTAGCATCTGAGCTTAAAGGTGGAACAATGACCCTGGTTGGTTCTGCAGCAGAACAGGAGATAAAAGAAGATCATTTGTTACTGTGCATTAAAACGTATCCCTATAAAATCTGGCCGAATGAACAAGGTAATAAAGCTTAATTTGGCCCGAATAGAGAGACAGATTGTGGTCCATCAGCGTGATTAAGTGACCTTAAATAACTTCACTTAGGAAGCAAATGCCTCCTATAATTCAGCAATGAATAATTAAGCACACTGCTATTACAACGTCAACTAGAAAAAAAAAATGTAAAGGCTCCCACTTTATAATCATACTTTTCTAAAACCTGTGTCTAAGCATGAGAAGGGATCTCTTTTTGAATGAATAAAAATATTCTTCAATCACAGCTCCAGCAGTGGTTTGTCCTACTCTGCTACATGAGCAATAACTCAGAGCTGACAAAACCATGGATGACTTATACGCCTGTCACAAGCCGGCGGGAACATAAAGCGGCTTTATATTTCATTATCAGAGTCACGCTTGGGGTGCTTTTTTTTCCTGCTAACAAAATTTAAACTGCCGGCTTAAAAAAAACAAGGGAAACCTGTGGCAAAATATGGAAATACCTTTCACTACCAGAGCTCCTGTGCTGCTGGAGGCTCCAAAGTGGTTTCTGGCCACACATGTGTAACTTCCCTCGTCAGATTTCGAGATGTTGGTGATGCGTAGAGTGCCGTCCTCCAGGATTATCTGTCTGAAGAGAGCAGGTAAAGTAAGAAAAGGTAATGAACAATTTTCTTTATCAGTGATTATATAAATGATATATAAACACATTCCTTGCTCTTAAATGGTTTCATTCCAAGGGCTATTTTACATTTTCATTCAGTATTTCCAAATCTGTTGCAGAAATCTTTTTTGTTTTCCTGAGATGATTACAGTTATCTTAGCTGAGACAGATTTTATAGCTGTGTTAGTTTGTTATTAAAAAAAAACAATAGATAAGTGCACATATTAACTGGACATAGAACAGAACATAAGGTGTGGAGCAGTGCGGCGTTAAAACCTAAATTGCAGGTAGATTTGCAGCCTCTACCTGCAAGTTCCTTTTTTTGATACACTGTTTTTACATTTATACTGTCAGTGTAAGTGTTGGGATTTCATCTCAATATATGTAAAAATGTCATGAACATGGCAAAAATAGTACTCAGTACTCAGCTGATCTATGAGCTTGTTCATAAAGCGGAATGGAAGCCCTTCTAATAACCCTGGAAAAATTTTCAAATGTGTCTTCTTCAGATTCAGGACAACAGACTTAAGAAAAATAAAATCAATCAACAGTTTTATCAAGGTGTTTGCATTAACTCTCTATGAACAGCTCACTGGATCCACATTTTACTATAATTACACCTGCAAGTATTTAGGATATGTTTGTACCAGCTTTGTACATCTTCACACTGAAATATGTTATGCAAAACATTCACTTTCCATCAAATTGGACGGAGAACGTCTTCAAATATTCATGTCTAACCACTCATTCTTTATTGAATAACAGTCAAATCTGCTTTGATCTAATCCATTGTAGCTCTAGCAGTATAATGCAAACATTATGCTGACACTAAAATATTATACATAATGCTCTACTACAGTAGTTTTGTCTCACTCATTTCATTTTAAGCATAGGCTAGATATGTGCATTTTAACTCATCTGACCGGAGAACCTTCTTTAATTTGTTTACTGTGTGAACATGAGAACTTTTGACTGTTTTTCAACAATAGCTTATCACTCTTATATAAAGGCTGAATTGATGGCACCCATGACTAATAGCCCTGTCCTTCCAAGAGTTGTGGATCTCTGCAGGATCTAAATAAACATGAGTCTCATTCTGAATCAGTGGGGGCGGGTGTAGTTTTCTCCGGGGGGGGGGGCTATAAATTCAAAATAGACGTATACCAAAAACCAATCAAACATATACTTTAACTTAGCACACTAGAATATTTATTCTAACAAAGAAAAATATTATAAAAACATTTCATAAAAACAATCTTGCCCTTTTGAGGTTTTGTGACGGCAAATCTGTGTTTGCATGTCACAAAGCTAACAAAAAAAAAAAGTACCGGTTTAATATGTAGAAGATATTAGTCACCTTTATATATTATTTATATATAAAAACAATTGATTTTTGGAGTTATTTGTCTATTTATGAGCAACTATGGAAAATTAACAAACATCTAGAAAAAAAAATTTGCATTCACCAAAGGAAAAAAAAATCTGACAGCTTATCTCATAATTAAGAGTTAAGACCTCATAATTACGAGGTAAGATCTCATAATTACGAGATATCGATCTCGTAATTATGAGATCCTGATCTCAATATTATGAGATCTTATCTCATAATTATGAGATAATGTCATATTAGGAAGGACAGTCATTGCTGAGCTAATAAGTTGGTTGTCAGATTTAATATGCTTTTATTTCCTTTCAGGTATGCAACACTGGAAAATACTAAGTTTCCTCAATGTGGATGGAATTAGTTTTAGTTTTTCAGCATCACGCAGTAAGTCCTTAGAATTCAACATGGTGTCTGCGACCACTAGGGGGTCACTGAGGTACTGGATGGGTGTCGTAAAACTTTTGGTTGATTCAACTTTTTTTTTTATGTTCCCCCCTGCAATTTTTTCCCACTAATTGCAATGTCTTTAAATACACATTAGCATGAATTTAACACACTGTAGTAAACAGATAAATGAAGGCAGAAGATGTCTTTCAGTCATTAATCATTGCTTAATTTAATATGACATATTAAAAAAAGATTCCCATCTGCATCCAGCATATGTGCGGTTTCTGCCCAAATATTTTCTTTTTGTTGTGGATTTTTCTAACAGAGATAAATAGGATCATATTATCTTTACATTTACATCCTATCAAAATAATAACAGCTTACTTAAAACAAAAAGCACAGCTGCGTTCGAATTTATGGGCTGCGTCTTCAAAGGACGCAAACTACCTGGACTGGATCCTTCGAAGTCCTTAAAAATAATAGTTTTGGTGGTGAATTCAAACAGGTCTACCCTTAGGCGGCTTTTAGCACCGTACTACAGTTGACACACAAAGCAGGAAAAGAATGAATGCCTAACTTTTCAAACTGTTTCTTTTTATTTTTTCTATTGTAAAGTGAACAAAGACTACACTCATGAGAAACCAGAGTGGAATAAAGGTGACACCCACCAGGAGCATAAACAAATAAAAACAAATGTAAAATATCATTCTGCAGTCATTTTGCACATCCCTGATATTGCTATTTTCAAATATCCATTACTGTAAAAATATCCATAGCTGTATATTGGTTATTTATTTTCCAGGTGCACAATTTTTAATTTAGTTAAAACACTTTACAGTACAACATTTTATTGTTTTTTCTTTTAACTCTTCATTATGATTTTATTCTTGTACATTTTTCTAAGGTCCACATTTGTGTGACCATTTTTTTTTTTTTTTTTTGCTGCTGTAAACACCAGAATTACCCCATTGTGGGACAATAAAGATATGTTATATTCTGTTATATTCTATAAAAGGGATAGAAAGATATAAGTAAATCTAAACAATGTGTGTATAAAATATATATATCTTATATTCAACAGCAAAAAATAATTAGTTAGGCAAACTATGCAAAACAGCAAATGCAAAGACCTTAGAATCTGCCCTTAAATTACAGACAAACCCATTTACACAGTAATAGAAAAAAGCCTTTAGATAAACAAAACATTACCTGCCTCATATCTGACTCAATAACCATTAAAACTACTATTTTTATTAATATCAGAAGGGACTATTCACGGAACTATTCACATACTTGCATTGTATTAAACTGAACTTTCAACATTCACCACTGTTAGGCACCAAGTAACCTTTCCTCTGAGCAGCTGGCTTGCTTGGTCTAGCAATGAATCCTGGGAAAACCAAGGTTAGATAGGATACACCACACCCATCCTTCAAATCGGGCAAAAAGATGGACGCATTTGTAGGCCGCATAATGAGGAGTCTTGTAATCCATCCAGACCTCGGCGCTGCTCTATGATGTAATCGGCTTTCAAATCTGGCCATCGCAGCCCATGAATTCAAACAGGGCCTATGGGCAAAGATTTTTGCGCCCTAGGGATGAAATACATCACCAATCCGACGAGAAATGGAATGACGCTTTACTAGTCATTAAAGATTAAATATTTATTTTGCACATCTAGAAAATATGTATAGATATATTTCAAAATATTTTTTTGACTTTAAATTTATTTATTTTTTATATATTAATCTGGGACATTGGGTGTGGGGCGACGCTCTAGCGCCCTCTACTGGCCAACTGCCACCGATTCTGATCTGTCAGTTGTGTTTCATGTTCTTCATGATTCTGGTTGTTCTTCTCCACTCTTTAGAGAACAAATTTGTTCTTCCCCTTTTTTATACATATGAACTATCTATTATGTGACTTTCAACAAAACACAGATTTTTAAATAGAATACAAATAGCTTTATCGTCCAACAGTTGTGAAATTTGGATCTAATGGTGGCAAAAATCTACTTTTTTTAAAAACCTAATAGCCTACTGCAGGTTGGCAGAAAAGTAAGATGAAAACATGTATTAATTACGAAGGAAGTAATATAGCAAAATTGTTGCAAGAAGCATTAAATCAAAATACAGTTATTGGCATCATAATCTTTTCAAATAGGGAAGGTAGGCCTTAAAATAGTTTAATTTAAATTTACTCTTTTAACTACCTATTATGCATGTTAAAATTAGTATGATGATTATTTAGAAATATTATAAAAGTTACTGTATCCTACCAGTGTACTGTAACTGATCTGAACACCAGTACTTTTCAAATCGAATCAACATACTTTAGAGAGGCATTCACTAATGATTTCAATGAAAAAAGGAAATAATTAGATTTAATTCTTTACTTTTTGGTGTTTCTTTATGGTCATTTTGGTTTCATGTTAGCATACAAATAGATAAGGCAGATTATTCTCTTCTATTGCAGCTAATTAAATTAAACAAAAATTGGACAAACATCCAACACAAAAATCTAACAATTTTTCCCCAGCTCTCAGGAATAAATGCATAATAAATAATTCATTTGGACAATACTTAACCCAGGGAGCATGTCTTAAACACATTGCTTTGTGCTGATTTATTGACAAAAATATCAAACTTTGAGTGATGGAGAGAACATGACCTGAGGGGCAATGAGGAGCAGAACAAAAGAAAAATCACCACTAATTGTATCGGTGATGAATTCAGGTCCAGGCTGTGGATTTTTATTATTTTACAAATGCAGTGCCTACATATCATAGCTGGGTATTTTTTCTCCCTTTTCTAAGTCAAACTGACACATACGTTAAAGCAAGTTTGGTGAATTACAGGATATATCCTTTTTTTATCTCGCTCTTAAAATAACTTCTATCCCCATCAAATAGAGCCAGCAGTTCATTATGTCAAACAAAGGAATCAAATTGATATTGCATGAGAACATCTGAGTGTGATTATTATGCTTCCTTATTTCAGCTTTTGCCATTTTTTATTAGTATTATTTATTTTTTATTTTTTTGCTTTAGCCTGGAATTGCATAACTGATTAAAAGCAAAGAGCTATTCAGATCAGAAAGAATTCTCATCATTTTAACTTCAAGGAGATTAATCATAATTAACCCAGTGGAAGCTTAATTTTCTCACATTAGACATTTTAATGACCGAAGATTGTAG